TTTATCAACCACAAATCCCAAAAGGAAAAGAAAAGACAACAAGCAACCTAATGTTTTTTTGGATTACCACCTGAAAAATGTGTTAAACTCAACCATGTCTACTAATCACCCTTATAACTGTTTACATTCACAGGAGTGGATTATTGGGGATGCACAGTGTTATGGTGTTTAACATGTTACCCTCCTGGCAGACTGTTGATATTATGGTGGTAAGTTGAAAATTGCTGTTCTATAATGTCCTTAATTCTCTTATATCCTTGTAAATTGCTTTGCATAAAAGTGTCTGCTAAATGCATAAATGTAAATGTAAATGTTTCATGGGTTCTCTTTGGGTACTCAGTCTAAAAACATGCATGTTAGAGTAATTAAAGATTTTAAAATTGTCCATCGGGGTGAGTGTGAGTGTGTGGTTTTTCATCCCTGTGTGGTGCTGTGATGGATTGGGGACCTGTCTAGGGTGTACCTATCACCCAATGACAACTAGGATAGGCTTCAGCCCACTGCCCCAGTCGTATAGCAAACGGATGGATGGGCTATTGACTGAAATATGTCAGGCGCTGCGACGGAGGACACTCCGTGTAAAAATGCTGACCTTCTGCTGCTTCTAACTTTCCCTGAGGGGGATCATCCATACATGTAACGTATTCGATTTTTTAATTAAGATTATATTACAGGAGTTTATTTGCCTGGCAAAAGAAACAAACAAGGGGATGGAATGTCAGCACATCTGATGTGCTGGAGCTAGCCCAGTTCTAATAAAACTGGATTGATTTGGTTCGGACTAAAAAAAAATTTTTTCTGTGTGGCCCTGTGATGGACTGCCGGACTGTCCAGAGTGTACCCTGCCTCTTGACCACTGACTACTGGAATATGCTCCAAGTATGCTCACACCATAGTTACAAAACAAATATATAAATGCTGCAAACAACATTCTATCAGTCTGGTGTGTGCTTTCATTGATAAGCAGTTGCCCTCCCAAAGTTTTTCTATGTTAAAAATGATAAAACTAACTTACAGGCAAACTGTAGGCTTGCTCTCCTGCTGAGGATGGCTCCTACAGTGTTGTAGGCCATGCACTGGTACATCCCCACATCCTGATAGCGGTCCAGACTGCTTATAATGAGGTTGCCCCCAGACAGACGTCGACGACGATCCAGGCCCAGATTTATGAGAGTCCCATTCAGTGACCATCTGTGAGGGCAAAGACACCATCAGTCGCTGGCAAAATGCATCATCCATGTTTTTTTTCTTTGCCAACAAAGGTGGTAAAACAGGAAGTTAGAAGAGAACGCAACCCACTGTGGCAACCCACAGGATAGAAGTTTTATATAATTAATAGTGTGATTTGAGCTGGTGTCAAGCAGCTAA